TGTTGAGACTCAGCGTCCTGGCACCGTATCTACTCTGTTGCATTAAGAGACTATTTTGAGTTAGTGTTTGCTATACGCTTCTGTTTACTTCTGTTTCCTTTTCAGCTGAGCTCAAGCCTGGAAGATCCGGATTACTGACTGTTTGTTTACCTGCCTGAAGGTTCCTTTGAGTTGCTAATTTTCACTGCTGTTAAGTGCCTCTTTTGTTGTACCTCATTAAAGACTATTATTAGCATTTCAACTGCTGTGAAAGACATTATCTGTGCTCTAAGTATCAACATATTGTGTGTGTGTGTGTATGTATATATATAGTAAGCTGCTCTGAGTCCCCTTCGGGGTGAGAAGGCCAGCATAGAAATGTCACAAATAAATAAATAAATATTTGTTGGAAAGATTGCAGCTAAGCTTGGGGGGCAACACTAGGAAGGAATCAAGACACAATTGTCCCTAATAATAATAATAATAATAACAACAATGATGATGATGTCCTATCACTCTGACCCTCCAAGTACTGACTCACCCCTGGCTCTCACCTTCGTCTGAAAAGTAGGAACGGAGCAGATGATTCTGGGTGTCGGGAGTCAGAGATAATATATTCATAGCAGCTGCATCTGTGACAGCACCGCCGAATCCCTTTATCGTTTGATACCGTTGGGCTGTCTCCAGAACCAGAACCAGAGCTGAGAGGCAAAGGTTTGCACGTGAATTTTCATGCAGTTGAGTCATTGATCAAGTGTTTACATTCATTCGACCCACCCAAATAAATAAGTGGCAGGGGTACCTGGGGTGGATGTTTTGTCCTGGAACTTCCCTTCGCTGCGCTCCATCCGCTGGCCGGATTTGCTGCTCTCGTACTTGACAAAGAAGCCGGGCGAAGGGAGGGAGACGGGGTCCTGGGTGTCACAATAGGTGCGGTCGCAAACGCACACCATGGAGTCTTGGTCAAAGTACTTCTTGTTGCAGGGTTGGCTCCCTTTTGGGGACAAGAGCAAGCAACCGTGTGTTTTCTGCACACTGGGACACACTCCCTCCCACCCTAAAATGTTCATCTGCCCCAACATCTCAAAGGTGTCCATGCCTTACTCACCCATCACTTCAACGGCTGTCTGTAACAAGAGCAGCAAACGCCACAGACTGGCTCTCCGGAGTCCCATTGTCCCAACAGCGCCCGGGTTGCACCAGCAAGGACAGTAACTCAGGCCCACAACTGGCAATTCACATCTCTAAGAAAGGGGGGGAAACGTCGTGTCAGAATTGACTCTTTGTCCAGGCTATGTCAACGTGAGCGGAGGCTGGATGGCCATCTGTCGGGGGGTGCTTTGATTGTGTGCATGGCAGAATGGGTTCGCATTAAATGGCCCTTGGGGTCAACTCCACATCTAATATTGTATGAAGCTGCATGGCCATGGTAATAATGATGATGATTTACTTATTTACTAGCCGTCCCCTGCTACGCATTGCTGTGGCCCAAATGACTGTTCTGTGTGGGAGTTTTGGCCCAATTCTATTGTTGATGAGTTCAGAAATCTCTGTGATTGTATGTGAACTACAAATCCCAGGAACGACAACTCCCAAATGTCAAGATTCTATTTTTCTCAAACTCACATTTGGGCATATTGAGTATTCGTGTAGAGTTTGGTCCAGATCCATCATTGTTTGAGTCCACAGTGCTT